ATTCAATGTGGAATCTACAAATAGTGATAGGACAAAGAAATAATCGAAATAAGAAGGAAGACGTGTTTCGCAGTCACCCGATGATGGGCCGGTGGTGCTACAACCTGGTGATTATGATACTGACGAACGTCTAGGAAGCTGCATGTGAAAGGTAGCGGCACAAGGCAGATGCCACGTTTGGGGCAAACTACTCATGTGGAAATTAAGTAACATCCTCGATTGCAATGGGAAATACATATTTACTTAATCAACTAACCTACAATAAAAATGTAAGCTGAGAGAGACCTAGCTTTCCCAGAATTTCGTATCTACCTTGAGACTTAGTAGCCTCAGTGGTCATGTGGTGGAGTGATAATGTTGCAAACATATTCACTGTCCGGTTTCAAATCCCGGTTCTGGTGAGACACGCAGGAGGTCCAAACTGCAGCCCAGTCTGGATGAGATTTAATTGTAGGAGGCACGACTATGCGAACTCCAATGGCATCTTGAGTCCTACTTACCTTATTGTGGACAAAACTCAAGCATTAGTACCAAATTCACCTTACGTGATCTAGGCTGACTAAATTCTAATGAAACCAGGTTGTCCGAGTGAAGTGGTCCCTCCTAGCGTTGAAAATATATCCTGCCACCAGTCCATGGAATGTCTGCGAAAAAGAGCTTTGGAGTTCAAAGTTCAGGTCCGTGAAAAAGAGTTACTACTTAGTCTAGACGCGGCTTTTGCCAGGATATTTGGCAGATCTCGTTGGTATACTCCCAGGCCACCCGATTCAGGGATACGCGATTTGAATTATTGACAGTCCGTTTGGAAGCTACCAAACTGACATTCCCAAAGTGACCTACTATCTGGCGGAGAATGCGGTTCAACTCTGCCTATGCGTGATCATGATCTTGGTGGGGCTCAAACTCAAGTCACACGTGTTCAGGTGTGAATTTAGCTATTTGCAGGTAGGGTGTGATTTCCAATTCGAGCCAGACTCTCGACTCAGTCTTTCAGCAATCAAGTTCACTGTCGTTCTGGAGTTGGAATTTATCCGAAACGATTTATTTTACAGTCTTGCTGTAAGGACTGACGGCTGTAGAATCCAACTAGTCATCTTCTCCTAATCTAATTCTGGTCAGTCCTTCAGAAGGACCAATTAATGAAGAAAACCCGGGTCTCGAAGGCGATTAAGGTTGGTAGTTGAATCTTTCACCCAAGTCCACCCTGGAAAAGAATTCCTTTAGGAAAGCAAGACTATGTGAAATTAATAGGAAAGCTGAGGCATACTCCTAACATTGAGGGTTAATTCAACTACCAGTCCTTCATTACCTTAAAATGAACCAGTATGAATACTATTATTATTCAAGCTACACTAATACAACCCAAAACCCACTTATATAAAGAAGATGAAAAAGGTAGTCGATTGTATTAGCAAATTTGCTGAATCAACAATCTCACCACAGAAAGTTTTATGGGTAAGGCCTAGCCTATGATGAAATGTCCATCTGCCCGCTGACCTAGAAGCATTCGGAGTATTGTGGAGTAGTGGTTAGTATGTTGATACTATACAATGAACTACTACACCCCTGGTTCGAGTACCAATTGGATTGTTGATGATGTCTAGGTTTGGTAGAAACTACATTCCATCTTGAATGAGAATACCCTTTGGAAAGCAAAGCTATGTGAAATTCAATGGAAAAGTCAGGAAAGTTTAGCCACCAGTGTTTCATCCTCCTAAACAAAATATGGTGGATACAACTCAATTAACTCATAAACTTATGACTTTTTAAAGAGCATTTTGAAAAGTTTGCTATCGTCTTGGTCATAGTATTGAGATTCGGTATAGTCGAAACTGCGGTTCAACTTGGAGAAGACCGGTCTTTTTAGATTTATATTGCAATGAATTCCACTGTTATCTCAAGTATTCGTTTCAATCTATTAGAAACTTGTATACCTCGACAAAAACAGCAGTGCCAGATTAATTTCTACAAGCTCAACTTTCGAAGACTAGTTTCAATGTTGAATGCATTCAAAAAGCTTATCGTTTCTGTTACTACGAGTCTCATCAGTTCTTTTCCCCACGAAGAAATTGGAACCTACCTCGTAGGTATACAGAAGCCTTTATTCAGAGAGCTTACAAACAACTTGATGAAACAGGCGTTTTTGGATAAAGTTCTAAACCAGTTGACATTTCAGAGTCCTCCGTTTGTCTCATGACTCTCTAGTGAATCTGCAAGTAAACTAGAATGTCATGCAAACGGTTTCAATGGCCGGCTATTTAAATGCTACATACTACTGCCTCAACTTTGAGCTAAGCATTGATTACGCATATATAATTACGCATATACCTTTTCCCCCCCAATCAAAATTTGTTATGGATTTATCAGTTAACTAAGTTCATAAACTTATTTTTCGTTTATATGCAGAGTTTCGAGACTACCAGTTAATCAATGATATGAGATGTATTCACCCTATTTTGATTAGAGTGATGAAATAGTTGGATTTTCCAACAATGATAAAAGTAAAGCTAACTTATCCATCAAATTTCACATATCCTTGATTTCCCAAAAGGTGTCCGCATGTAAAGTGAACTGCAGTTTCGACCTCGTCAAGACCTTATCAACACCCCCAGCTGAAGTCAATCCATGACAAGTTAAACATTCCACCACATTGCCACGAGTGCCCTCGGGCCACAGGGCAGATGTGAATTTCAAGAACAGGCATTTTCCCATATCACATTCTCTGCTTATAAACGAAAAATAAGTAATGTACTCGATTGTCATAACAAGTATAACTTTGCTTTATCAATGATCACACCAAGGAAGGTGATATGGGAAAATTCCTGGCCTTTCCTTAAATTCACATCTGCTCTGTTACCCGAGGGCACTCGTGACAATGTGGCGGAGTGGCTAGCATTTCGAGATTACACGCTGCACTCTCATGGTTTGACTCCCGCTGGGTGTGTTGGCAAGACCTAGACGAGGTGGAAACGGCAGTCCATCTGGTATGAGAATATCGTTTGGAGAAGCAAAGCTTTATAAAAATCGCGGGAAAATTCAGCTCTGCCGATATCATTGTAGAAAAATTCCAACTACTAGTCCTTAATCATCTCAAACGAAATTTGGTGAATTCACATCATATAACTAATAAACTTATGACTTTCTAAAGAGCATTTCAAAATGTATGTTATCTTTTTAGTCATAATTTTGAGACACTTTACAAGAATTTATTTACAAAATTGCCCTCCTTTTTGTCAACACCAACACCAACAATACTTCCTAATACCCTAATTTTGACAACCTGGAAAGGTTAGCGACCCAGTCGTCTGTCTTACTGAGACGTCTGCTTGGTCTGAACGCCTTGTGATTCGAGTTCCGAAGCCAGAGCCAGAGCCAGAGCCGAACGTCAAGTCACCTGAGCCCGAGTCTACCGACGGCGCCAATCCTGTCCCGGATGGCTCGTCCACGAACGAGCCTCCCAATCAACCGACCAGCGGAGAAGTCGCCAATATTCCACCTTCAACACCGACAACTCCGGTCTGCGCAACAGCCCACATGACAGCCCAACCAGGCCTCCTGTTGCCATGGCCACAGGCCGATCAGTCCGGCCACGGTCTGACGCCGTCTCAGGCCGCAGGCATGGCATTCGCCTACCTGCCGGCCTACTTGATGATCCATCGGGTGGCCAACCTGAGGCCAGGCGATGTGGTCTTGGTCTATTCGGCCGGAGGAGGAGTGGCAAGTATCCCATGTCCTGTATCATATGCAAAGTGCCCAGGCACATGTTTCTTTTTCATCCTTCCTTAGGCTTCTTTTATGCCGGGACTCGCATTGCTCTCCACTTGGGGCAAGATCCAGTCTTGATCGTGTAGAACAATGAA